GTCAGTAACAGGGAATTACTAGAAGGATTTGAGAATAGCTGAAGTTTTTTGTCATGAAAAGAAAAGATGTCTACCACCAAAAAATTAGACCGTGCAAACAAAAATAGTGTCTTCTAAAACTCTTTTTTCCCCCTTTTTAACAACTAGGTAGGAAATGGTTAAACTTCTAGTAATTCTCCTTGGCAATAATTTGTTGCAAAAAAATACTGTTTTTCTGAGTCACTTGTCTTTGCCTGCTGCTTTGTTTCTTACACAATGAGTAAAATAACTGACAATCTAAAGTGCAGCACTATGATATCCACTTGTTTAGGTGGTACCTTATCCTAAATTTCTCTGATTTTCTTTCTGTTGGGGAGCTGTGTTGGTTGTGTCGCTGTAGAAATAAAAAAGCGTTTTTTTTTCCTGGTGAAGGAAAGTGAAAAGTGGAATGCTAAGGAAACAAGCAGTATTTATTTGATTATAGGCTTATACAAATTTGGAAAATAAAGTTACTTTGCTGCTCCTGAATCACATAATTCTGTAATTCACATCTACAAGGCAGTATCTCTACTGCCTTCAAAATATGTGTCCTGAGGTTGTGTCCCTGAAGTCCTCTTAATTAGACTTGAAAAATGAGCTTGTTTATTCAGTGTTTGACTAGTGTAAAACTCCTGTATCTAACCATATTGTTAACATCCACAGTCTGCTTTCAATTTACTTCCTAAATTCATGAATTCTATAAAAGTGCTTGTGGGTGGAAAGATGACTACTTAATACATGCTAACTTGCATTTATAACATAAATACAAGTTTTTAAAAAGACAGTTCTGTCTCTTAATACTAAATAATGACAAATGCTCTGTCCCCCACCTAAATACTGACAAAATTTCTAGAATTCTCAGAATGTTGCTACAGATGTGTAAACATCATGAAACTGTACTGAATTTTGCATCTTTAATGTGGTCTGTGTGTCTGTGTTACCAAAGGAAAGAATTGTCTGGACACAGCTGTAACTGTTGTTTGGTTACTCATGTTTCCCTAAATGTAAGTGCTTTTGGCTTAAAAGGAAAGACCTAGAAAATAACTGTATGCTCTTTTTGGTATTACAAACTCAATCTAACATCAGTGTTGAGAACTACATCTAGGGTGGAAAAGAACAGAATTCAATCCTGTTTTCTTTTGTGAAGTAGAACCCTGTCTGTTCCTTTCACAAAATTCAGGTTCTGGCAGATGAGTCTACACCCGGGGAGATTAAACCATAGCCCCTGGGCGACTGATGTGTGCCCTGTGAAGACGTAATGGGGCAAGTTTATCAGAGACCTTTTGCTGCTTTAGCACAAGAAGTACACTCATCTGTTCCTCTACTCCAACCCACACACCTTGTTTGTTCTGAGTGTGGCTGGAGCAGTTCATCTGGAAGTGATGTTTTCCCACCAGAGCATACATAGCTTGTGGCACAGGCACTTCTACTCAACCTTCTCCTGGGGGAGGTGAGAAAGTACTATAGCTGCTAAAGGGGAGAGTAGAAGCAACAGAACAAATAAAAGACAAAAACTCTTCTCTTCTACTTGTCAGGAGTATTTCTGCCAGCTTTAATGAAAAATTTCTGCAAGTCCTTATGTCTTGTTTTGCTCTGAGGAAATCACAAGGGAGAAAAACACAAATAAATGAGCACAAGATAGAAAAGCCAGACTTCAGACCTGGGTGGTACTTGTGAAGAATCATTGTTTCACAGTCAGGACTATGTTTTTGTAGTTAAACTTGTTTCTTGGCTTATCTGGCCCCTATATGCAATCCCATATACCCCATAACCTTGGAAACAGCATCTGCATCAGCCTGAGGAAGTTGGGAACACTGGAGTGAAATTCAGTGGTCACTGCTCTGAGTTGCTGAAAGCAGTTGCAGAAAAGGCTGAAGAGACAACACTGCTTTAAGTGCTGCCCTTCTCAAGGTTGCCATACCTTGCTATTTTGCTATTCAGAGCCCTGAATCCTCTTTTGGAGACAAGTATTTATATGGTGTATTTCATAAAAGCCACAGGTGTTTTCACCCATGGTTTGAAACTGACAACAAAGGGGAATGGTTGCAAAGTCTTTAGGTATATATAGGTATATATATATAATAGCTAAATTATGCTGCAATTCTGTTTGACTTCTAGACCCTCCTTGGACCTAAGCCATTAATCACCTTCCAGGACCATGACCTAAGCACTTGGGTTTTGGTTGGTTTGGAGTAGGGCTGTAGTGTCCCTTTGCAGAACAGGGGTCAAAGACCAGTGGGAGCAGCAGGAGAAGAGTGAGTGTGCAGCGCAGCAGGTGGGATGTTTACCCAGAACACAGGAGCCTTGGGTCAGTGGCTGCCCTAAGGACTGCTCTAAGGGCATTCTATCTAGTTACAATTTAATCCTCAGCTGCACAGAAGATGCTCAGTTTTAGAAGGTTGGTAAGGTTGAGGAAACTCACCAAACTCTTCATCCTGAATGTGACAATTATTGTGTCAATTATGTGAGTATTTTCAGAAATAGTGCCTTAGGAGCCTAAGCAATTTTATTGGCACCTTATCAATGTTAACCCCTGGAATCTAAACAAGGATTTGAAAGGTTACAATCTTAGATTTACATGCCTAAATTTTAGTACTACCTTACAGGTCACATACCAAACTCTTCAGAAGTTATGAGCTGTTCATGAGACTCACACAGCTACTTGTTTATGTATGTTTGTGATACTGCTCCCTGGGTTATACTTTGGAAACTCACCAAAAGGTTTAGCAGTCTTAAAACTTTCCTCACCTTTGGCTAAATAAGACTTTCACAAGTACAACTAATAGTTGGGGGACCAGGACCCAAAAAGTCAGCATGGTCTGTTTGGCACAAAACGGGAAAAGAATCCAGAAAGTTGTATAGGTCATCCTTACATACAATGCCAAATATAATGTCAAAAATTTTGACATATTTTCTAATACAGAAATCGAGTTTCAAGATTTGCACAAAAATTTTTAAGGTTTTTTTCTTTTGGTTTGTTGGTTGGTTGGTTGGTTGGTTGGGGTTTTTTTGTTTGTTTGGTGTTTTTTGATTTGGTTTGTTTTGTGGGGAGAGGTTTGGTGTTTTTTTTTTTTTTTTTTTTTTTTTTTTGTTACTCTGAAATGGATGGAACTGACACAGTGTAATCCCTCATTTTGGTCAGTGCTGCTCAGGGCAGCATCTGTTCCAACTCGAACAAGATAGCTTTGAAAGCCATACTTTATTTTTCTTTTCCCCAGCAACTCTCAATTACTTAATATTTTAAAATTTTTTTTCTGTTGTTATAATGTCTTTTCAATAACTTAAAAATGAAATTTTTATTTATTAAAGGTATATAAAACTGTTGGCAGTGCAAACACTGAAATTGTCAGCAAATTCTTGGACACAAGTCTTATACCAAGTGTTCCTAAATTAGCAATTGGTTGTAATGGCCTATTTATTTCTCAAAGCTGACAAAGTGGGACAAAATTTATTTCCATCAGATGAGTGTTTAACACCTGTTTCACCAATTCACAAACCTTAACTTTTAATGTTGATACAAAGAGCTTAGTTGTCTATGGAGAAGACATAATTATTTTTTAGTAACATGAAATGAATACAATAGACAAAGGAATGCTGAAAGTGTTTATTGCCTGCAGCATAATTCTGTATTTTATGAGATAGCCTGGAAAGTGGACATAGAGCTTCAGAGGAAATGAGTTTCTCTCTTTTGACATGTCCACAAACTAAAAGTGAGAATTTCCTTCTTAGTGTCAAAAACTACTGGTAGGATATAGGAAATGGAGTTTCTCTAGGCCTAGAAAAAGATTAGAAACAGGATTTATATTAGGAGATGCCCAGTGCTAATTACAGGTTTGTAATGTTCGTAAGCACTTGTGAAATGCCAACCTGAAGACAGTCAAAATTCTGTGTATTTCCACAGTGAAACAGAAACAGCCTGAAAGTTAACTTTTAATGGTAAGCATTCCATCCAGCAACACATTTGGGTCAATACTAACTAAACCACACCTGTCTAAAAATAGAACAGTGATTAAAAAAATGATAAATTTGATTATTTTTGTGGCTTTTGTGGTTATTCAGTGAAGATACCTGCTTGCATGGAGACCAACTGGCTACTGAGAGCACCAAGATTCAGAAAATCCCAAAGAAAATATTGCTTCTTTTTATGATTCTTCAGTAACTATAGTAAATGGGCATTTGCAAGCCATTTAACTAAAGAATTTAGAAAGGGCTAAAGTCTCATGGGGAGATCTGACAAGAAGGTGACATGTTTACATTGGGGAATAGAAAATCATTTTATGCGTAAGGATTTGTTTATAGCAATCAAAGCTTTAAGAGCAATCACAGATTGTATTAGACCATCACAGCTCATTCACATATACTATTCCAAGTTCTGTTTTCTATATGTTCCTTTTCAGAATGCACCACTGCAGAACAGGTATAAAAAATGGGCTAAATTGAATCCTACAACTGTAATATGAAAGATCTGTTTGTTTGGGGTTTTTTCCTTTTTTTTTTTTTTTTTTTTAATTCGTCTTTTATCTATTATCTTTTTAGCGGGGGGTTTGAATATGTGAGGGTGGCTTAGTTTTGTTGATTTATTAATTATTATTTTTTTTAAATTAGACTTCTTTTTTATGAATGCAACCTCCTGAGGCCAAAAAGTACTGTGAAGAGTTGGTGCCTGTGTGTTTTGATGAGCAACTTCTTGGGGACATCAGGTGCCAGAAGAAACCCTTTGGCCTGGGAGGGTGCAGTGAACAGACACGTCTGTGAAGGGCATGGGCAATCTGCTGCCTGTCACTCTGGACCATCCAACGCCGAGAAACCCACCCTGCCGGGGCGGCAGGAGTTCGAGGTGAAAGAGAAAAAAAAGAAAGTTGCCATCTCTCATTAAGATTTATTATACGTCTGAACTTTTGTAGTCCCGAAGCTTAACGACAGATGGTGGTGTAACTCCACCAATTTTGTAACGTCTCCTTTTCTTTGATGTTGTAATACAGATTCTCCTCGACTTGACTTCGGTTAAAACCAGCATTTTCTGCTCTTTCCCAAGTGTCTCGGAGCAGTACGCAGGGAGGAAAGGGAGTGCACCTAGTTCGAAGAGGAGTCAGTTTTGTGTTCTTGTTCGCTTTCTAAACAATCCTAATAGAAAATAGCAATCTTATTGACACCTAACACTGCCAGCAGCACAGAGAAATTACATTAAATTAATTAAAGGAAAATGGTTTCAAAGCGGTTTATTTCAAGCGAGAAATACAATTGTGCAGATGAAATCTTGAACCGTAAACAGGAACAAATAAAACGCACCAGCGTTTTTCATTAGAAAGCCAAGTCACATTTTACACCGTAGTCGTCCTTGAAAAAAAAAAAAAAAAGTGGGGAAAGTGTGTGTTTGTTTAGCTTTAATTTCGGGTGGAACTGCCAAGTCGCGCCGAGTAATATTAGCGGCCAAGCGCCGTGTTGTTCCCGGCACGTTGTGCCCACCAGACAGAGGGTCTGCCTGCGAGGCCACGCTGAACAGGACGAGGGGTTCTTGGAACAAAGCGCAGCCCGGAGAAAGGGCTGGGAGCGCTGCGGGCACTCACGAGAGCGGACGGCGGACGGCCCGACGGCGGCGGCCCGCGGCAGGGCAGGGCAGGGCAGAGCCGGGCCGGAGCCTCGGGTCGCTGCGCGCCGCCGCTCCCGTCCCGCCGGCGGGGGATGCCGCGGTCGCCCGGCGCCCAACGAAGTTGGCGGTGCCCGCGGCCGGGCCGCGCCGTCCCGCCGGTTCGGTGCCGCGGGCTAACCCCACAGAAAGTACCGCTGCACGCTGCCTTCCGCCGGTACCGGGATTTGTTCGCTACCGCAGACGGCTCCTGAGGGAGAGCTGCCTCTCCCCCGGGGCGCGCTTCCTGCCTGAGGAGACGAGGGGGGCCGGCGGTCTCCGGACCGCGCAGCTTGAGCCCCGCGAGGCTCCGCGCCCCTGCCCGCGGAGCCCATGCGCGGCCGGAGCCTGCGGGGCCCGATTTCGTTTGCGGGCCGGCGGGGCGCGTAGCGGCGGGTCCCGCGCGGTTCCCCTCCCGCCCCGCTGGCTCGCGGGGCGCGGAGCCGTGGAGGGCGGCTGCCCGCGGGAATTCTGTCCCACGGCTCCGCGGGGTGCGCCGCGAGTATCCCCCGCAACCGTTGCGCTCGTAGCCCTCCGCGGCAGCGGGTAGCGCCCCGGTAACCCGGGGCAAAGACGGGGCGAGGAGGGGGGGGGACGAGGGGCAAAGAGACAAAAGAGCCGCGAGTAGCAAATAAATATATTTTACGGCCACCCATCGGCAGCACCGCGGCCCCGCGAGCCTCTGCCCCGGCGCTGAACTTTCACCTCGCGAACCCGGCCGCGCCCCATTGGCTGCCGGCCGGCCCGCCGCGCCCCGCACGGCCCCGCCGCCGCCCCGGCCCCCGGCCCCGCCGCCGCGGGCGGGCGGAAGGGTGCGCGGCGGGGCGGGGGGCGGCCTGGGCCGGGGGCCGCCGCGGGGGGCCCCGCCGAGTTGCCGGAGTTGCGACGGCTCCGCCCCACGATAGCGGCTTCCCCCCCACACCCCCCCCCCCCCCCGCCGGTGGCGAGCGGCCGGCAGTGCCCCCGCCGGGGCTGGCCGGCGGCCCCGGGAGCGAGTGGCGCGGCGGGCAGGCGGTCTGCCACTTGCCTGTAGCAGCGAGTGGCAAAGTTTGTGGGATTTTTAATTGTGCTTAATAAATGCGGTGACTGTTAATTCTGAGTGACAGTCACTTGTGATCCTGGCCCTCGGCGCGTACAGAGAGCCCTGCTAACGCTGGGGCTGCCGCGCGATAATTAGGTGGGCTCCGAAATAACAAACCCCGCGTTCCGCTCGGCCACCGCCGTCCGCTTTCTCCCTCGCCCACGCAAGGTCTTTCCACCCAAACACACCCCCGGCGCCGATTTACTGGGGACCGTGGCGAGGACAAGGGAGGACAAGACCACCTATAGCCACAATGCCAGCACTTCTCTCCCCGTTTCCCCTGATACCCTATCCCACACAGAAATCACTTAAAAGTGTTTTTCCCGGGAGGAGCGGCCGCCCCGCCCTGGGGCTGCCGCTCCAGACAGGCGGGGAGCGGCCGGTCCCTGCTGCGGACATCTGGGGGGTCCTGCACCTTGCTCCAAGTGCCGGGGCCCGGGAGAAGAAAAGTTTCAGGGCCCACGCGTGCCTCCCGGCATAGCTGCTGCCATCGGCCCGGCCTGCCCCGCCGTTCCCCTCCCACCCGGGTTCCCCGGCTGGCTTCGCGCGGGGCCGCGGCACCTCGGGGGCTGCCAGCAGGCTGCAGCCGGCCGGCACTGCCAGCACAACACACGGCTTTGTTTTCCGCCCGTCTGCTAAACTCGTTGTGTCTAACGGAGCCGGCGGAGCAGGGCGGCGGGAGGGGAGAGGGGGCGGGAAGGGGCAGCCGCCGCCGGCAAACAACTTCCCCGACGGTTTGTTTACATAGCAGGTGGAGCTGCCGTCCGCCGCGACCCACAGCGCCCGCTCCGCCGGGGACCGGCCGGGGGAGGCGCGGGCGGAGCGGGGCACGGCCCGGCGCATCCCGCCGCACTTTTTTTTGTTGCCATTCCCCCTCCGCTGCTTTCCCCCCCACCCCTCCCCGCGTTATTAGCACTTCTGTGCAGGCCACTCTGCGATCATGTGAGGGAGGGCTCCCTTCGCACTCCCCTCTCTCCAAAGCAGCCGGTGTGTGCGGTGGGTTTTCTTTTTTTTTTTTTCCCCTCGTCTTTTTTTTTTTTTTTTTTTTCGCATTCCCAACAAAACACATACACACAGGCGGCACACTCCGCACACGGGCGGACCCGCACGCCGGGGGAGGGAGAGCAGCACCGCCAGCGCCAGGCAGCACCAGCCGGCGGGAGGGCGCGAGGCTCCGACGCCGCTCCGCGCCCGCGGAGGGCCCCGCGCCGCCCGCCCGCCCCCGCTCCCCCGGCCCGCGCGGCGGCTCCGCCCGCAGGGACTTTGTATGTGCGCGCGGCTGCGCGCGGCTCCGCTCGCCCTTTCTCTCTCGGTGTCAGCTCGCCGGGACGCCCTACACGGTGTCTCCTCCCGGTAAGTGCTACCCCCCCCACCCCGCCCCGCACACCCGTCCCCTCCTCCCTCCGCTCCCCGGTGTGACTTGCTACTTCCAGCGCTTCCACCCCCCTCCGCCGCCGCTCACTGACTTGCCGCCGCCGCGGGAAAGTTTGGCCGCGGCCGGCGGGGCCGCAGCAGTGACATGTGTCAGGTCTCCCGGCACCCGGTGGCACCGCTCCCAAACACGCACCGCCAGCGGGGGGCGGGGGCGCTCTCTGCGGTGGGAGCCTGCGGTGCCCGGCCGGAGTTGGGGCCGTGCCCGGCGGGCCGGGCCGGGTCGGCCGCGGGAGCCGGCGTAAGCTCCCCCAAAACAACTCGCGGCGGCTGCGGGTCGGCAGGGCCTCCCTCCCGCCGCTCAGCGCTGCGGACCCCCCACCCCCGCGTAATTAAAAACAAACAACCTGTAGCCTCCCCGCACGGGTAGAGAAGTGCCAGGCGGGGAGGGCTTGGGGCCAGGCTGCCGAGGAAGCGTGTGCGGGAGGCTCGGCTGCCCGCCCGCCGTTTGCCTCCCCGTTTGTGTGGTGGCGTGTTGGGGTTTTTTTGGGTTCCCCCCCCCCCCCTTTTTTTTTTTCCCCTTTCTTCTTTTTCCCCGAGACCTCCCCAGCAGACAGCCCGGGTGAAGAAACGTGTCACGTTTCTCCTTTGTGTGCTGCCTGCCCGCCTGCCCGCCGGAGGGAGAGGCGCACCCCAGCCCCCGCCTCTCCGCCCGCCCGCCCGCGCGGAGGGGCCGCTGCCGGCCGCCCCCTCGGGGCGCCCCGCGCCGCGCTGCCCCGGGGCGCCCCCGCCGGCGTGGGAGGGGAAGCGCAGGGGCGCCGAGGTGCCCGTGGGGCAGCGGCGCCGCCGGGCGCTGTTTGGGCTGCGCAGGGAAGAGGGTCGTCCCCTGGCCCAAGACAAAATTGCCTAAACCCAACAATTAATAAATAATAGTGTTGGAGCTGCAGGGTTCCGGAGGCGGCCTCCGTGCCTGGTACGCAGGGGCCTTCCCTTAAAATTGGCTTTGAAGTTGAGGAGGGCTTCGGGACTTGGAAAGTTTGGGAAGCGTGATAGATTATGAGGGCAGAGCGGCCTTGGCGGCCTTGGCTGTGGAGCGGGCTGCACTCTGCCGTAACATCGGGAGTGCCAGGGCAGCCCTAGGACGGAGGGCGAGCGCCGGCGCCTCCGCTCCGCGTCCTGCCGCGCCGAGCGCGGGGTGCGCAGGCGGCAGCGCTCCCGGCCGCCCGTAAGCTGCCGGACAGCCGTGTGCCGCCCGGCACGGCCAAGGTAAAGGCAGGCAGTCCCTCAGGCGGTTTTGTTCTGTTCCCGTAGCTCGGCTCGCGTCAGGTTCGGCAGGCAGCGGGCCCGTGTCGCAGCGCAGCCCCGGCCGAGAACGCTGGCGAGCGCCGGTAAGGTCCCGGGATGGAGCTACTGGAGAGGCGTAAAGCTTAGGCTGGGGGCTGGCAGGAAAACGCTCATCTAAAATTTGCAAGAATTGTCCAGATAGAAAGTGGGCTGCTGGTATATTCCCCAGGGAAAAATGATCTCAAAAGTAACCACCATGAATCTGTGATTTTGTCCTCTATTAGTAAAGAGTGCAGAGCTACAGATGGAGGAATGGGCAGTACCCTCTACCTGGGAATCGCTCGTACTTCTAGGAAGTCTTGCCTGTGTGCCTACGTACCGAGAGAAACACAGAAGTTCCTCTTCCAAAGAGGATCTTCCCTTGTCTTTCTGTGCATTAGAGCCCCTATCCAAACTCAACTCTTGAGAGTGGGAATCTTTCCTTTGGCAGCAGTAGGAATCACTCCATTGACTTCACACGCTCGGATCAGGCCCTTGGAAATATTTTTACGAAGGTGGGACTCAGAAGTTGTGCATGGTGTCGATATCTCCCCATTAATCCATGTGTGTGGGGGGGAAGAAGTCAAAGTTTTAAGATATTTTGACAGTTTTAAATTTTTTCTTCTGTATGCTAAGTAATTTAAAGCCATTAAGGAAAAACATTACTGCTAGTAATATTACTCTAAAGAAAATATGATTAATTATTAAATTGGTTTCTCTAATGCTACACTAAACCCTTTTAAATGGGATATGGTTTTAATCATTCAAATAAGTATTTTCTAAAGTTTTTTCTTGACGATGATAATTTGTTCATGTAAATATAGATACTCAAAATACCCCTGTTTTGTAGTAATCTGCAGTTTTAATGTAGTTTTTACAAAACAGTTTTGTTCTGTAGAATTTTTGCATGCTTAAATCATTCATTTAATTACTCAGGATAGTAGATCAGTAAAAGGCTAAGGGGAAGGAAAGAGTATTTCAAATACAGCATTTCCAAAATGCCTGTAGTTAGACATCCTAATTTATTTTGATAATATGTAACACCTGAAATACACTGCTTCATGTGAGGCCTTGTTGGTGTAGGCTTTAAGGTTTAACAGTAACCTTAGGAGGAAGCTTAAGCAGAATCAATTGTATAAATATTTGTGTATTTCTTTGTTTTTAGTTTAACCTCAGCGATTTTTACATTGTGTCATGGGATCTTTGCTACAGTGCAGTGTTCATGTCATCTGAGAGAGGAAAAAACCTGAATGTTTTGTAGCTTTCTATTTAGTGAATATTTATGTAAAATGACCAAATAGTCTCTAAGGGACAACAAAATTAGAATGGGTTTGAGTGTGAGGAAGAGCAAAAGAAATATACCAGG